ATTCGGAAAATCCTCTAACTCGGCTGTTTCACTAGGTTAACTATTTCATCGACGGACAGGACAGTAACAGAAATATGACAATGAGAATTTTAGGTCTTGGCAACTATGCTTTCGTCAGAAAATCCGAAACCTGCTTGTGTCCCTTTAACTCACTTTTCTTTTTCTTTTGTTATTATGCACAATAGCGAAGTCAATTGGGTGAAAGTGTGGACTGATTATTTCCTCACCAATTTCGGTGATTTTTTTTAATGTATTATGATGGTATTTTGAACAGTTTTTTCCTATAACATGTTAGGGCCAAAAGTACGTGTGACGAAGATGCTAAGTGTAAGAACGTTCAAACCTTTGTATTTAGATTCAAAGTAACGGCCACTCCAGACAAGGCGCCCCATATATTTAGGCATTCTGAAGTGCGACGAATATTTTCCACGCCACAGGAATGGCCATAAATACGTACTCGAAGGAGTGTAAAAAACGAGATAGTTTCTAGGAACGAATATTATTAACAATGCCACCCCACCAAAGTCATTCGCGGTTATGGGAAAATTTAGGAATTTCTATCACATTCCTGATTAGTTCTAACGTATTTCCTGCTTTCCAATTCTTCCGAGTCACTCAGAAAAGGGTAACCCAAGGAAGTTTACGAGGGAAGGACTCGGAGGATAGAACAAATTTTAGAGCTCAATCAAGTGAATCAAAGACAGTGAAGAGTCAAATTTTAGAGTTCAACCAAAGTTAGTCAACATTTAGTCATTTGTACGACATTCTTGCCCAAGCAAGAATTGCATTGGAGCCATCAGGCTCAATAGTCAATAAAGTCAGAAAAACAAATTAGTTTCATTTTCCATGTCAGTGAATGGTCCTTCGAGCAATACGCAAAGGTGCAAGAACGACAGCAGTCGTGACCTTAACAACGCATATGTTGGACTTTATTCGTTAGACGAAAGGGTCGTTCAGGATATCGATTTCTAAATGATATTTAAAGATCGTCGAAATTAATGAAAGAGTGGTTAATCTACGAGTTCACCGGCAATCAAAATGGAGGAAAGTACGAATGAGCAATGTTTTAAACTCATAAAATCTTAATAACATATTTTCTTTTTTATAGTACGATAAACTCATAAAATCTTAATACTAACATATTTTGTTTCTTATAATATCATTTAGTTTCTTATAGTATCATTTCATTATCATTTATAACAATAAATGATTTTGGCTGTTGAATATGCAACTCATTGAATTCGTCTTAATAAATAACATCGTACTATAAAAAAGAAAATATGTATGGTATCGTTTAGAAAAATAAATTTGACTTCGAAATTTCGAAACGGTTAAATTTTGCAAGAAATAATTTACAACACATAATGTGTTTCTTTATTGCAAACAATATTTGTAGAAATATTGAACTGATAAGTTCAAATTTTCATAAAATCGAGTTTACGGAATAAAGATAATTCATTCAGGTTGTGGATTTACAAATTGATAAATAAAAAGACGGCATATCTAATTATGTTATTCGTAAAGATATCATATTTCAATCAATTTTTTTCTAATACTTTTAAATAGATGTTAATAGTCAAATATGTACTAAATTTTTCATCCCAATTTCCATTAGTCGCTGTTTTAAATTCACTGTGTTTATATTCCTTCATTGATGAGGTACCATTCAATTCAATAAATAATTCTCGAAACAGACTGGCAACACTTCATATTTTTTTAATTTTAATTTTCGCCGCTAGTAATGCTGCGGTAGCAGCATTAAAATCGGTAAGACAGAATGTGACACGAAAATGGTACGGTTTTGAGGACCGTATTACCATGACCGAAAAAATACATTGGATGCGTGGTCTATTCATATACCTTGTCTGTGGCATAAGCATCTATATATCCACAGAATGTTTCAAAATTATACACAATGTATTAAAATAATAATGTATAAACAGGCACAGGATGATTTTTCATAAAAGAAATAAGAAAAAAATATAGTATATATTTATTTTTGAAAAAATTGAGTTTGAAAATTTGCTGCATCCATATAGAATTGTAGTTAAAATAAGATTATTATTATATCACTCTGATACATAACAAAATGCAAAAAAATACATTACAATACAAAATTACATATTTCACCATTTTATTAATGATGTAATCTTTACCCAATTACAATCACTGCATATGTATTTCGCAAATACACATGTCTAACGGCATAAAAAATAAAAAAATAAAAAACTCCTTTCGGTATTTTTTCTCATCTATTTAATATCATTGATTAACTAGCATAGACTGAACAATGCTTTTTCGTGTCCCAGGGTGTCCAGGGTTTTTGGGGTGTCGCCTGACCCCCTTACCATTTTTGTGTCACATCCTATCATATCGACTTGGGCAAATATTACACTACAGCGCTGTTGGTGATAGAAATTAAAATCAAAAAATATGGACAGCGTTGCCATTTCCTTATCGAAAATTATTTATCGAATTAAATCCGGTGACACTTTATTACGCAAACATACATATATGTGTACATACAATAATTATAATAAATAAATGCGAATTTATAATAGATATTGTTTAAAAAGTTCTATAGTACGATATCGTATAGTATGATTTTTCACAAAAGTGCACTAATTTTTACTGGATTTCTACGATTTTTTTTTTCTAGATTGAATTTTTCTACATGTTATTCTGAATAAAAATTCAAATTTTATACAGGATGTGGCTTTTAAATGAAAATATATTTGCTGTATTTTTGTCTTTATAAAGAAAAGGTTCAAGATAAAGTTGCACTATTTTAAGGCGTACATTCATTAAAAGTGGAAAGACTCATTTTCAAGATCATTTTAAAGTGAAAGTAATGGACTTATATCTTTGTCGATCTTCTTATGGAGATTATTATTATATAAAAATTAAAATTTAATTATCTGAATAATGACTTTCAATCATTTAGTAGAAAAAAATTTTTTTCGGAACGAACCGTTTATTAAAGAGATTGAATTTCACGTTAAAATAGTACGGATATTTATTGGAGTCAAGCAAACAAAATGATTTGGCATTCAATGTGCGAGAATTAATATAAAATATAAAACAGACTTGTAGAATGATTTTGTAAGATAATTAAATTATATACATCATGTATATTCGAAAGAATTGTATATTTAATCAAATCGTTCGAATTGAATTGCCCATTCAGTCCCTCCTGCTGATCATCGTTTTTTTGACATAAAACAGCAGTCTATCTCTTCCAAGAACCGTAGTCCTCGACATGTGTTTGTGTTCTATCTTACTACGCGGGTACTATGAAATTTCTTTACAATTTTGTCAAAATTTTAACGACATATTTTTATATACTTTATTGAAATTTTATACGAATTCAAAATGATATATTTTCATTGAGTACGGCTCATTCTCATTCTCTTTTCAATTGCTTTCATCACGATTGTCGTGCAGAATAACAAGTGGAAAGCGAATTAAAGGGACAGTTCCGTTTGCTGACGGAAGCATAATTGCCAAAACTAAAAATTGAACATGGTTGCCACATTTTTGTTCCATCGATCGGTCCTGCCCATGAAATGATCAAATAAGTGACTGCATGATTATTCTTACAGTCAGGTATTCGCTCGAGCTCTATCAAAATTATCCGATTAGATTCAACTCCGAAATGTCAAATACTCTTACCCGGATAATTTGAATAAATTTTTAAAATAATTAAAAATACAAGTCTTATCGTAACTTCATAAAAAGAATCATGTTACACTTTACTTCAATTCTTTTTAAAATATAAAGCTTTTGCTTTGATCACCCTGAATCGTTATTTTTCTGAAGATGTTTTTATATTATGTAGCAAATGAGAAATTGAAGGAACTTAATTGTTCCTTATATTGCTGTACAATTTTTTTCGCCATTCTATTGTATCGCCCCAATTAATTAAATCCTAGTATAATATAAGGATATGCAGCTTCTTTTTTCTGAGATATTTGCTGAATTTAACTGTTTGGAAAATAATTTTACCGATACCTACATATAAAAGACAACGAAAGGCAGAAAATGATATAGAAATTAGATAAGAATTACATGGTGACAATGTTCCGGCTCTTATTGGCCGGAGATGAATGTTTATACGTATGTATGAATATACTTGCGCTTCTTGAGAATTGCATTTGTGCTTTTGTTTACTCTAGACGATCGAATTAGGCCCGATGCAGTGACAAAGGGTCTGAGAGCAGTGGTGCTTTGAAAGAACAAAACACAAACTTCTTTTGTTCATAAGAAGAAGGGTAAGAGAATATTATATCTCTATTCTTTCAAAAGAATCACTGTTGTGATGATTTATTGTAAATCAATGTCTGCATTGGGCCTAATGTTAACTGCTAATTGCTTGTTCTTATTTTATATAATAGATTTTATATAATACATTTCGTAAAATTGAAAGATCTACCTTCCAAATAGAAAATTCTCGAAGCCAAGTTTGAAGTTTCACGCCCTTCAAATTTTATTTCGATCTGTGGCCATTTAAAATTGAATAAAATACTGTAATCAATCAATCAACCGGTTGCCAACCAAAATAATTTTAGTAATATAATTAGTTAAAAATTATTTTTAAACATAATGAAATATAAATAATTATATACATGAAATATATATTAATATTAAAACACGGATAGAGCTTTTTGTAGTATATACATGAATAATATAAATGTTTTAGATACTGATTTCTTGTATCGGAATCTTGTAACATAGACGAAATATATATATTTTTATCTCGTCTGTACTAGAGATATACAATTGACAACACTGTAAAAGATATCATTTTCTTGAACAAACTTGTATCATTTTGTTTGACGTAGTTCTCTAGTTCACCGTTGTTCGAGCGTAGAGGACGCTAAAAAACTAGTAATTTTTTTTCAGGTCGGTATTTTAGACCCTTGACACGAAACCCCATTTTATGTCTGGTTTATGCAAATTAGTCAATATTAATATATATAAGACAATTGATTTAACAAAGTGTAATTTTATTTTTTAAACCTACATCAAATAAACATGTTGTAATAAAATAAATCTTAATTGTAAATTTCACAAATTTAATTAATATATTTAATTTGTATACGTAATATAATAAAATAACGCTTTTTCATATCTAAATAATTTTATTTCTCAAAATAATCTTCGTTATGTTCGATAAAATTTCTTTATCACAGAGATTGTTCGAAAACATTATTCTAATTAACTATCTTACAATATGTAAGAATGAATGATTTGTAATTTCATCAATGTCCTTATGATGTTATCCTTATTTACAGAAAAAAGTGCTGTCACCTATCGATATTTCCTTAAAGTCTGTTTACACATCAAAGTGAATAGAAATCATTTAGAGAACAGTGAAACGAAATTTTCATAAATTTTTATAATTTAAAGATAATTAAAATAAACAAATGGCGTTTTATGATAATGAACATTGGCTCTTATCACACATCAGGGATAGTTTTTTATCAACCGACAACACAGGTACAAGTTAAATTTATTAGGTTAAATTTTTAGGATGTGTTAAATTTTTAGGAACACTGTACAAATTAAACTTGTTTCTGTAATATTTCCCAAAGGTCAGTGCGAAATGGTAATGCTTGGAGAAGATATTCCCAAACAACTAAAATCTAATGGTATGTTACAATGTTATCCTGGCATGGAAGAAAGCGATGATGAAGATCTGGATGCTCTTGCAGAATCTTATGATATACAAATGGGTAAATTTAACAAAACAATATAAAAGCTTTTTCTATAAACAATGACATTTGACTTTGTGATTAGAAAAAAATATATAAAAATCAATTGGAATAAATATGTATGCTTTAGATCTGTGATTTTAATATTGATATAGATATGGAATACAGTCATAGAGAACGTACTAACACTGCTCAACGATTAGAGAAAATGAATCTTGAAAGAGAAAAGGCTGCTAAAGTCAGTGTAAAGTGGAAAAATGATTCTGTTGTACCTGTTACTCAACAATCAGAATTATTTCAAAGAAAGGATTTTCGTAAAAAAACTGGCCAAGCTAAAAAATATTCCCTTCTATCTGAACAACTTGAAAAATGCCCAAATGTTCCACAAAATCCATTTATAGAATATGCTAAATATGATGGCAGTGTATGTATCAATAAATTTTGTAAATTTTATAATATATACTTTATAATATAATAATACTATTTATTAATTTTGTTGTAGGCACAAGTAGATATTCCTATAAGAAAATATAGAATATTTATGTGTATGTTACCTAAAAAACAAAGAATGTATCCCCTTCATATAATTGTGCTTGCTACAGCAAAAGTTCTAGAATTTATTGGATTAATTTGCTACAAATATGCAAATGAACATCCAGATCATTCTCTAAAGTAATTATTCTGAAGAATTTCTTACAAGTTTTAATTTATATTTAATTTGATTTATAGCTAATCTATTGTTAATACACTTTATTGTTTTCAGAGATGATATCACAAGATATGGTTTATATTTTACTGAAGATGATGGAGAAGTTGACTGGGATTTACCTTGCTTAGATCCTAGGGAAACAATATCTAAATTTGAATTTACAACGTTAGGTCTTGCAGAAATGAAACCCAGCGATAGAGCGCGACATAATATGTTTAGCTGGGTAGAATTAACGAACGAAGACGATTTTCTAGAAGGTCAAAACGAAGAACAAGAAGTTGCTGAAGATTTAGCAAAAATGGAAGGACATACGACTGCTATGGAAGCTCCATTGTATCAGTCATACAGGTATTTTTTATTTATTAAATTCATGAAATAACTTGTAATTAATATGTAACATTCTATACAGGGTATACATAATAAGTAAAGTCAGAGCAAAGACTGAAATCTATCTAGGAATATCTGGTGAAAAAATTGAAATTAATCCAATAATAACTGGAAAAGGTGCAGGTCGTTTTTGGAATCGGCAAAGAGCTGTTAGTTATCAAATAGACAATATTGCCTGGTGTGAAGTAACAGAAACCAAGGGATCAAAAACAATTTTTACATTAGTTTATACACCACATTCTTCTACTTCTGAAAATATTTTAGGTTAGTCTAATTCATATATTTTATATAATATAAACAAGTTATTCAAAAATTAAAAAATTTTTTTTATACAGTACCATCTGGACAAATGCATTCTTTACATCAGTCCGCATCATTTAAAAATCATGAATTTGAAGCTGATTCAATGACAGCCGAAGAAATCGTCAGAAAAATAAACCATATATTAGAACTACATAATAGTATATCAAGAAAAGAATATCTATCTCAGAAAGAAAGAAAAGCAGCAAGACGAAAAAGTTTTCATTTGCATAGATGACAGCTCTATTGGTTTCTATATTCTATTTTAAATTATTTAAAACATTAATTATATCAATGAGATAATAATTGAAACAAATATTTACTTCACATACAAGTATAATCCTATCATTTTAGTAGTTGTACTTATCAATTTCTCATATCAGGATAAAGCTTTTAGACATTAAATAGTACACAATATTCTTACTTAACTAGATATTTATTTTTTCTTAGAATGTAAATATATGTACATGTAATGTATATATTTATTTTGTATATAACCAAATATTTGTTTATTTCATATGTATTATATTTATTTTAATATCTGTAGTCAAATAATTATACATTGTTTTAAAAATTATCTACAATATATGTGCAATATTTGTTATGATCTTGATGTCTCAATAATTTTGTCTGTAACCTTATTTAGTCTTTTTTCCATTTGCAAAATAAATCTTTCATTTAATTTGTAAGTTAAATTACGCAATATCGATATCCTTTTAATCATATCTAATAATTCTTTATAATTTCTATAAATATGTTGATAATTTGGTTGAGCCCTAACAAAGGTTGTCCCAAATTCTGCTAAAATATTAAAATCTAAAGATTGTCCTTGATTCTCTAAATGTAATTTTTGACTTGCAAGATTTTTTCGTTGTATCTTTCTTTGCTTTAATGTATCTATCCATTCTTTTCTTTCATTTCTTACATTAATTATATATTTTTCTAAATTAAAAGGTTTCTCTTGCAATATTTCAGGTACACATTTTATTGTTTCATTATCGTCAATAGCTTTAGCACCTTCTGTACACTGTATATCTTTAATTATAAAACATAATTTAGTAAATATTACATAACAATTCATTTTTCTAATAATTTTACATTACATAAAATTTGAGTGAAACGATATATTATAAAAGTTATTTAAATATTATGAAAAAATAAAATCATAAATTAACTAACCTTCATGTTCGTCAAATACAATTGTACGACTTTGAAAAACAGAAGAGCGTCGTTTATGAACAGATTTTGTATATTTTAAATCATTTTCTAAATGCAATGCATCCATAAAATGAGAATTATCCATTCTATCGATTAGTTATAATTTCCATGAAAGAACAGTTTATTAACAGTTACTTCGACAAAGATTCAGTTCAATTTTGAATAAGCCAATCACGAAGCAGTATTAAATATGACATAATATATGATTAATATGTAATGCAAGAAAATAACGAAGTTCTAATTTGTCATTTTATTATTGTAATGTTCTATAAAAATATTTTGGTATAATTTTTTTATAATATTTAACAATATCCTCTCATAATGTAACATTATTATTTTAAATATAATTTTTATGAAAAAGTTGAAAATTAATCAATTAATATTTATTACAATTAGAAAGTGAATTTAATTTATATTTTTATGTTGAAAAATAAATGGAAACAAATATCCTACTTTTTCTTCGAAAATTTAAAATACTAACAATAAGTACAAATGCTATGTAACATTAAATTCATGTTTTGTGCGTAAAAAATTTTCAATTTTAATAAAAGCTTCCAAAAACATTTTACAATTTTATTTTTCTTTAAATAATATTTGATTCGAGAGAATAAATATTTATGTGTAACATTATGAAAATATTTTGAATACTCTAGAAATTTCTATGGAGTGTACAGTCAACTCAAAGAGTTTGTATAACGTTTGCAGTGTGCAGTCGATTTTTAACAGTCGAGAGAAATTGTATACGAATAAGATACATTTAACAAGGTATATTAAAAAATATCTTGAATTCTATGATTTCAACATCAGCATTCAAAGAATAATTGTGTGAGTGCTGAATTTCCTTTCTCTTACGATTAACATTTAAAAATCTTATTTATATTAATTTTGAAGAAAGCAATGTCGACAAAGACTGATGAGGTAAGCAAACAAATGTTTAATTTTTTAAAGTACTATTTATATAAATTGTAATAAATTATTAATGATAAAAAAAATATAGTGTTCTTGTATAACAAAATATTATATATGTAACTATTAATACGTTAAAATTAGATTTTAATATTCTAATATTTTATGTTATTTTAATTTCTAATATTTTATGTATTTAATCTAAATTCTAATGCTAATTTTAATATTCAGTTCTAATACTTTAATGTGTTCTTTAATATATTTTTTTATATTTTATATTTTTTATAATAAAAAAATATTAAATCAGAATTATCTCAAAAAATATATTGTGATTAATTTTGCAAATTTTTTTATGTGATTAACAGCGATTGTTATAAATAAAATTGCTCAAATAAACTTTACTAAAATTTAACAAATAATTATTTTGTTTTATAGTTAAAATTAGATATTGAAGAATTTAACAATCTACTTCGGCAAGCAAATCGCCAAAAAAGCAAAGATGTTCTTAGTCTTGAAATTAGGAAATTACAAACAGAGTTAGCAAGATTGATCGAAGAAAATAAAATATCTCAAACAAATCCAACTAACGTAGTGTCTAATTCTCCTCAAAAGTATTATGAATTTAAACTTAATAATTATGGTTGGGATCAAACAACTACAACAATGAAATTATATGTCACACTGAAAGATGTGCATCAATTGCCTAAAGAAGCTGTAACTTGCAACTTTACTGAGAAATCTTTTGACTTGCATGTTCTTGGATTAAATGATAAAAATTATAATTTAACAATTAATAATTTATGTGAAGATATTGATTCAGATAAAAGCAATGTGAAAACCAAAGTTGATATGGTGATAATATCTCTTGTTAAAAAAGTTGCCAAATATTGGTCACATGTAACAAGCGTAGAAAAAAGAATCAAAGAATCAAAAACATCTTCAGTTCCAGATATGTGTGAAGATAATGATCCTGGTACTAGTTTAATGAATTTAATGAAAAAAATGTACCAAGAAGGAGATGATGAAATAAAAAAGACAATAGCCAAAGCGTGGACAGAGACTCAAGAAAAAAAAGCAGCAGGACTGACAGATCATTCATGTTTATAAATATGTAAGCTTATTATTTCATAGGTTATTAATGTACAATGTAAAATATTAATTTTACATTGTAAAACTTACAATGTAAGTTTATTATGCCCTAGGTTATTAATATACAATGTAAATAATATAAAATATTAAAATGTAAAAGTATTATATGCATGTTTTACATATATTAAGTTTAGACACTCATTACTTTTATAAAAAAAATTATGTTTGCAAACCTATCATATAATTGTTTTTAAAATAATGCTTTTTAAATCAAATAAAATGATTATTTCAATTGTAAAAATTATATTTCGCTTTTTTCTAATAATGATAATTTTAAACTATTTTTATTCTTTATACAATGTAAGCCAACTTATTATTATATATTATTATAGCTGCTTACAATAAAGAAAAATTATAAAAATATCTTGTAATCACTTCATTAATTATTTTCATGTAAACGACAGATTGAAATGATACATATAATGTAGTAAATGATACATATAATTTACTATTTCCTATATTTTTAAATTACTGTTGTAATTAAAATTTTTCATATACAATAATTTTATATATTTAAAAGGAATTTTAAAACTCTACTATGTTACATAAGTTAAATTCAATAATATTTTAGAAATAAGAATTTGTAAAGAAGAATATATATTTTAAAAATATATATTTTAAGAACTATTGCGTGGCAATTTGCTGCTCGTTGCAAAAATATACATTATATATAAGGAATATATAAAACAGCGATGTTGCTGAGTCAAAGATTGTTGAATTCAGGATTCGTAGAAAAATAAAAATTATTCTGAAAATTATTGCTATTTTGTTGTAAAGTTTTACTTATTTCATTTTATATGTAATAAGTAATTTTTGCTTACGACCTAGGGATTCATTCACTAGTAGTATATAGAGATAATGATTCAGAATTACAATTAAAAATTAAGGTTATAATTCTTGAATTATAAAGAAGGTTATAAGATTCACTTTTTTTATTTATTAATAATAAATTGAATTACAAGAATGTGAAATGAACAAGAAAAAATTATTTTTTGATATATATATTGTATAACTTGTAAAAATGTACATTAATACATTAAATTGATTAGATAAAAAGAAAATATATAAAACATATTTTCTGCAATATGTAAGTTATATTTAACATGTTGATTTGTACATAGCACATACATATATATATATACTTGTTTTTAAAATCAAATTCATAAACATTAATGTTTTTTTAACATGTAAATTATAGTAGTACTGTCAAAAAATAAGATACACACATGCCTGTTTTATTTATTTATATCCTGAATATTTTTGTTACCTTTTATACATTTATATTTCTCAAGTTAAAGACCATAAATTTATAGACAAGATAATTTTTTAATTTATAATAAATTTATTAATAATATTTTTAAAAATAAAAGAACTCAATATAATTCATTCTATGAAGTATTATAAGTATTGTCAACAAATCTTTATTTACTTATTTTTGAGTTATAGAAATATATAATTTTCAGAAAACTAATATTAATATTAATTTTTTGTATCAATATGAATATATTTAATTATAAGTAAAAATTATATATCTGAGTATTTCTATATAGTAATAGGAAACATTTGTCCAATGTATCATATTTGTAGTTTTATATATTATGCTTCAAATATTATTACATATTTTTGTGAAAAAAAATTATTTTATAAAATTATTTCAGTTAATAATAGTTCATGAAAATTTTTTACTTTTAAAGTATAAAATAGAAATACAAGCATAAAGTAGAAATACAAAGAAATAATTGTACTTATTCACACATACACACACACACACACACCACCACACAAATCTTTGGCGCCATTGCATATAAATAGATAAAAGTATAGGATACTTGAAAATTTTTATAAAATTTCATAGATAAAATAGTGTATGCAATTTCATAAAACACATGTAAAATTTGAATTTAACATTATTTCATAAATAATTGCTGTATCTAGTTAAACTATGTATAAAATTAAAATTATTTTTATATTAAAACATATTCATTTCTATGCTTTATTATTTTTTCTTAGTAAGAGAAAATTAATATTTATTTTCATTCATGTATAAAATTTTGTTTAAATATAATTTACATTTATTAAGTTAAGGATTATAAATAGTTAAAAAATTTGTTGAAAAAAGTTATTAATATAAAATTATTGTAAATATAAATGTATAAAAGAAATACAAATATATTACCAGAATTAAAATCTTAGTTTTATAAATGAAATTAAAATAAAGAAAAATAAAAATTGATATCAATAGTAATTAAATATTACTTACCCTATCTAATTACAGCACATATATAATTGTGTTTGATAAAAATAAGGAAAACATGTCTTTGGTTTACAAGCTGAGACTTAATTATAATCAAAATATAAATAATAAAAATTTTATCAATTTACCATGAAAAAATTATTTTACTCTAGGAAGAAATATTTGATTGTACTTCACGACTGGTGGCATGAAAAACTTCTGTCATTGTATTCCTTGTCTTTTCTATTAAATTTTCAATATCAGCTGATGTTAGTCCTTCTGTAGATATTGGTGGTAAAGTTGTTATAATAACTCGACCTTAAGATTATTAATTAGATTATCATATAATATTTTGCATTCAAATAAATTATTATAAATAAGACTTACCGGCATCGAATCTTTTTTCTTTAGAAGACAAAAAGTAATAAGAAGAAAAAACAACTGGTAATATAGGTAATTGAGCATTAATTGCAACATGAAAGGCACCTTTTTTAAATGGATGAATTTTGCCAGTATTGCGCCTAGTGCCTTCAGGAAATATCCACAATTTAATCTATATAAAAAGCATGTAAAAATAAATAAATAAATATATATATATTATATATATTATAGAATTACCTTATCAATATTACAGTATTATACAAATAATTCCAAATTATACAAATCTAATTACCTTATCTTTCTTAAGATAGATTATGGCATTATTTAAAATTGAACGGGCTTTATCTGATTGCATTTTATCTATAAATATCAATCCACAAAACCAAGCAGCTAAACCAAATGGCCATGCATAAAAAATCTGTTTTTTTCCTACAACTGTGCACTTTTGCATTATTGGCCATATTTGGTACATTCCCATTATGTCTAAAGAACTTTGATGATTTGATACTATTATACATGCTCTTTCTTTTTCTAAATGTTCTTTCCCCCTTAATTCCCATTGTACTCCCATAAGGTGAGTGCAAAAAGAACATGTAGTTGATGCTAATCTAAAATTATTTTATATATTTTTTATAATAATTATAAAATATTAATAATAATAATAATTGTTATTTCTATTATATTAATAACAAAATTATTGACAAATGGTGGACTAGTTTTTAATTGGTTAAAAATATGACATGTTACATAATATTGTTACATAATATTATATAATTAAATATATGTAAATAATCAATTACAAAAAATAATTAAAATTATGCATAAATTATAATTATATATTATAAATTATAATAAAATTAAAACTTAAATATTAGTTAAAATATTTACAAGTTATCTTATTGAAAAATATATTTCAGTAAATACATTTTTTAAATGAAACTCTCCTGTTTGGATTTTTATTTCATGATAATATTTATATATAATCATTTTACATTTTATATGATATATATTTTTATATTATTATATTTTGTACATTTAACAATGAAAATTTTTAATTATATA